CCCGACCTCTGGTAGTGGGGCCCTCACGTTGAGAACTGCCCGGCTAAGAGAGTGTCCTCTCCTCTGCACCACATGAGGTGTCGGATCGGCTCCACACACCCTTATGCCAGGATGCCAATGAGAAGGGCTTCTTTGAGGGCTTTGTTGAGGCTTCAAGTGCTTTCGTCAAGGTTTTTTTAGGGTTTTTCTAAGGGTTTAGGGGTTTGGGGCTTTAGAGGTGTAGGGGTGCGCCTTATTCCCCTTTGCCAGGGTTTGGGGCCGGTTTAGGATTCGAAGAGCGACCTGATCACATTTCCCCCTTCTACTAAGCCTTGAGCAAAAAGGATTTTTCTGGCTTTAGTGTTTAGGGTTTGGGAAGGGGCGCATGCTGGACTTACCGGGGCTTAACTCGAATTACAATGGTTATATTTTCGGCAGCTACCACTGTGATGGCAGCAGGATGGGCATCGCGTTTGAATATCTCTGGCCCACTAAATTTAATCTATTGCCCCTCATGTTACCCTCCCCCCTACCCCCTTCAACATTCCCATACTCCATGATGGGCCTGTAATGGGAGTATTTCATACTAGGGCAGGGTCTGTTCCGCGCATCTTATGTGGAGCTCCCAGATCACAGATGGTGAGCTGGCTTTACAGACAGGACTGGAAGTTTGCTTGTGGACGCGGTTAGGTAAGGTCGGCTTTGGCATGTTGAGCTTTTCGGGTGTCCCCAAACCCCGAACCCTAAACCCTATGATTCCGCACTTCTAGTACCTTCGAGGACGAATGTAAAGGTCGAAGCATCGGCTAGAGTTGCAAAGCGGCTGTGTATGAGGTTTACAGGGTTTAGGGTTTAGGGTTTAGGGACCTCAGACCACCTTGGAAGCCGTAGTGCCGCGTGCGGTTGGTGTTCGCGTTCCCCTGCGTTCGCGTTCGCACTCGGGAACCGGTTGGCTTCTTTGTGATGACCGGAGGGTTTTTGGGACACCGTCTTAGGATGGTTGGACAGGGTTACAGAAAGGGGCCCCCCTAGTTCTCAGTAGAGCTACAAGGACCCTAAATCGGGTTATAAGGATCCTAACTTAGCTTTACAAGTCCGTTAACTGTAGGTAGCACAGTAAGGGGGGGCCCCTCCTTGTAGGGATGTGGGCTGCTGGACAGTGCCCCAAGACAGCCCTAAATGCCTAAACTCTTGAAATTTCGTAACCCTAAACCCGAAACCCTAAACCTTAAACCCAAAATCACCAAAACTCTTGTACTTCGCTTCTTGGTTTGATTTGTTGTTTGGCTTCTTCGGGGGTGGTCGGCTGGAGTCTGAACCCTTTAGGAGTAGAATAGGTAGCCTTTACCCTTGTTGGATATATTATATTCCCCTTTCCCAAAGGCTATAACCTTTACTTACCCCAGCATACTGGACAACTATGTCTCAAATTCGCACCCAGTCCCTAAACCAGTGTGGACTTCAAAGTATAAACTCATCAGCGACGCGACCAAGCTTTAGCCTACCTTCATTCACGTTGTAGAGTCCCCCGGCTCAGCACAACATTTAGGGACTTCAGGGCATCTGAGGCGAGATAGAGTTTTTGGGGTTTAGGGTTGAGGGTTTTCTACTTTCCGGTTGAAGACTTAGGTTTGGAATAAGCAGCGGCTGCAAGCTTCAAAGATCCCAAATACGAGAACAGTCCTGTCAGTCGATATACTTTTTTCATTGTTAATGCCAGATTCAAGGAGCGGCGCGCGTGCGAGCATAAATTGGAAGCTGCTGAGCAATTTCAGTTCTCCAGTTTAATTGTTGATGGCCCACCCTACACCCTAAACCCGAAACCTTACGTAGGCCCCAGACCCAGTGCTTATTTGTCTATAGGGTTTCTCTTCTTGGCTGCCGGTTAAACAATTTCACGACTGAGATTTTACGAAGCTTCTTGAGGTCACACGGGTACAAGCCTTAAGAACACTAAGCCCATTTGCCGCCTGTGGTCAGCTAGGGAGACTTATGGGCGGACTCTTTCGTTCATCAGTTTCATGTTGTTGCTTTGGCATATCATGGGACTCTACCTTGGACCCCGAAGGTTGTACCCTTGGGTTTGGGGACCCTTCGTTAAGAGCCTCTGAAGCAGTATAAGTGCCGTGTCAGGAGTATCTTCAGAGAACTTCTTAGGGGTACTAAACCCTAAACCCTAAACCCTAAAACCCTAAACTGCTTCCGTGGGGTTTAGTTCAAGGTTTGGCTCTTGAAGCCCGAGGCTGTAGGACTCTCAGCCGCGCCTCGCGAATCTTGGGTTTAGGGGTTCAGGGCTCTAGGGCTTTCGGGTTTAGGGGTGTAGGGGTTTAGGGTTTAGGGTTTAGAGGGTAGAGGGTTTAGGGTTTAGGGTATAGGGTTTAGGGTTTAGGGTTTAAGTTATCAGGGCGTTGTTGATTGCTTTGTCGTGGGAGAGGTGCTGCTGCGGCAGCCTTTGTTTATGTTCTTCCTCCCAAAAACTCCGACAACTTTCCGCCCCGAACCCTAAAGCCTGAGTTCTAACCCTAATACTCCTGAAAGAGAGTTGGGAATTCGGCCTTTTTGGCCTGACCCTTCTTTGGCTCGAGCGAACTTCAATTAGGAAGAGGAAGGGAGGGGGCGGCGACGGCAGGACGAAAGATGGCGCCCGTCTCTCAGCACGTCGCAGCTTTGCGTGCTGTAGTATTGCACGTTGTGAGAATCAGAAAGAAACTTCGCGTTGCAGGTGCGATTCTGATTCTTCCGATTCTTGCGATTATGGTGACTTATGTCTACTCCGGTTCTGCTCCTGTGTCCTATTACGTCCTGAAAAGATCGGCATCCTTGCGTCCGTAGGAGGAGGAACTTTCCTTTTGGCCTTCACCTTTCTACATGCGAACCTAAACCCTACACCCTGAGCCCGGCTCCTAGAACATTTTTGCCGAAACCCCAAGCCGTCAGAAGGCCTAAGCCCCCCCGCCACGAACCCAAACCTCCCCCTAAACCCAGCCCTAAACCCTAAACCCTCTACACCCTAAGCTCCATAAACCCTGAACCTAGACCCTCAACCGTAAACTCCCTAACCCCTAAACCCTAAACCCTAAACCCTAAACCCTGAACCCTAAACCCTAAACCCTAAACCCGAAGCAGCCGAGGCTCTCCGCCTCCGCCTCCGCCCCGGACCTCCGGCGACCAGGTGGAGAGCCCGGCTTCGGACCTTTGAGGGCTTAGGGTTTAGGGTTTAGGATCAGGGTGAGGATTTAGGGTTTAGGGTTTAGGGTTCAGGGTTAGGGTTTAGGGTTTAGGGTTTAGGGTCTATCTTACTGCTGTTTCGATTAGTACTCAGATTACCAGTGCTTACAAGCACTATGCTTACTACTCAGAATATCACTGTTGGTACGATTTCTCTACCTGGTACCTCTATCTTGCTGTTATTGTTGTTATTGCTGCTATTCTTGCTATTACAGCTACTGCGCTTTTTCATTTCCATGACTGCTATCATTGTTCCTAGGGCTCCTACGGTTACTACTGACTGCTACTATTGTCATTGCCGTTATGCCTGTCATAGCTGTTGCTCATGTTAGCTAATGATAGTCTTCCGGGTGTGTTTTGGCGCACAGTTCGGATCTTGAAGGACAGAGAGCCACCTGGAAGCCTCAGTCCTCAGCTAGCTGCGACCTTTCTCGTCTAAAGCCCCCCCAATGCAAGACCCTATCAACCCGAGATCTCGAGCCCCAGCTCGCGGGACTCTCTTCGGGTTAGGGTTTGGGGTTGAGGGTTTGGGGTTTAGGGTTGGGGGTTTGGGGTTTGGGGTTTGGGGTTTGGGGTTAAGAACCAGGAGTATATTTAATCGCCCTCTTGTTTAGGAAGGGGGAGAAGAGGCACCCTTTGCATTGTTAGGTACCGGGGCCTTGACCCCTACCCCCACACCCTATAACCCTGACCCTTGAACCCTGAACCCGCTAAGCCGAACCAGAAAGTCTTGGATCCTGCTGAGGTTCAGGGTCTGACAGCCTCCGAAAGGCCACGAGGGACGCTGGCCATCAGGGGGCAGGGGTTCGGGGGTGCAGGGGGTTTAGGGCCTGGGGTGTCTTAGGGTCTAGGGTTTATGGTTTAGGGCTCGTGGCCGAGAGTTTGTGGATTGGGGAGATGCTCGAGCATTCTAGCCCAGTTTGCCCTGCCGTCTTTCGACTTCCCAGACTTGAGCCATCATCGTCATGGAGCACATTCCAGCGCATCATCTCTAAAGCCCGACGTCCTCAAGCCGGATCCCTAGACCTAGAATCCTATGATCCCTAAACCTGGAAGCCTCTGGTCCCTAACCCTGGAATCCTACGATCCCTAAAACGCCCTTCCCTATGGCTCCGAAGCTCCACCCCATGTGCGGCCTTGAGATTTCTTGGGCCGCCAGGCGGGCGCCGCCGCGCTGGCAGGCCGCGGTCCTGTCACCGTACAAGAGCTTCAACACGAGATGTTGGGATGTTCCCCCTTCTACTCACAGTCCTTAAAGGGATTTTAGTGGGGGCTACTATAATCCCTAAGTATGAAGGAAAGTTAATATGAGGGGGAACATCCGAAACAAGATGGTTTAGGATTCAGGACTTTGAGTTTAGGGGCTAGCCTGACCCCAACCGAGCCTGTAACCCTGATGATGTAGATCGCACATCTCGGTCTTTTCCGGTGACATGTTAGGGGAAGTGGGTTCCGAGCTGCATTTCGCAAGGATCCTCCGGGACTAGTTCGCCAGTGGCTGTTGTTTTTCTTTACAGGAAGGGCTACGCCGGGGCACCTTATACCACCAGCCATCTCAAGGCATGATGGGATCCCATACCCTTGCCAGGCGTGTGGCAGAAGTGGAAACATGTTATTTTGCTCGTTGTGGAATCCGAAGCGGCAAAATATGCCGAACCCAAAATTGAAGTAGGGTGTCAGTTCCTCCATCCCACACCTTTCTCGCTCAAAAGAAAGCGCCTTTGGAGCACAAGGGTAGCTTTCCTGAAGGTTCGCCTAGCACACAGAGCCTGACCACGACGCTCTATGAGCAGATGAAGGACAAGGCGCGTCGCGCAGCAATGCCGAAACCACTAGGGTTCAGGGTTTCGGGGTTGCATGCGTCGCCAGGGCCTCTTCAAAAATCACTTTCCGAACATCCCGCCGGCGGGGAAGTCGATCAACGTCCCCTTAGCTGTGCCCTGGCAGAAGTTGGACACAGAGCTTGGGTTGACGGACCCTTCTCGTACGCTTCCGGTTAAGGCTTTATGGGAATCTACAGCAGAGGCTCCCCTCAGTGCAAGCACGCAAGAGAGAGAGAGCTATAGTTCAGCATATATTGCCCAACAGCGCCAAAGCTCCTACCCCAGCCAGCCCGGTATGTCTTAGACCCCACACGGCAAGCCTTCAGTTAGAAACCACACACCTGCAGTTCGAAACTCAAACTCAATATCTTTCTCCAAAGGAAGTAGCTGAGCCAGAGCTGCCCAGCTGTCTCACTTGATCATTTGTCAAGCTTCAGCAGTTCGGGGCTGGTTTCCTCTGGTGGTGGCACTTCGACCCTAAACCCTATAAACCCTAAACCCTGAACCCTGATTTCAAAGCCCAGGTTAGACCCAGGTTGCAACTCAGATTAAAACCCAGGTTGTGAACCCAGGGTTCAACATGTTGACGGACATGCTCAGCACAGCTCAAGTTAAGATGGTAATGAACTACGTCGCCACCCGCACTTGCAATGAGATATGAGATTTGAAGGGGGATGACCGCATGGATGAGCGATGAATTGGCACACTGGCAAGCCATGACAATGCGGCAAGCTCCTGTCTGCGACCATGCACAAGCAGATGAAGCAGATGAGAACTGGCCATGACAATCCGCTGCTGACCACGGCGTTGCTATCTCGCACGCTTTCAACCTTTTGATGACTTGCGACACAAAACCCTAAACTCCAACCCTCAACCCTAAACGCTAAACCCTAAACCCTAAACCCTAAGCCCTAAACCCTAAACCCTAAACCCTAAACCCCAAACCCCAAACCCTAAACCCGAACCGTAAACCGAGCGGCGCCAAGTCTTGGGGGGTGGTTCACTTCTGGAGGATGATTGCCCGTCCCGCCTTTGATGCCAGGTAAACATAGAAAGAAAACGCCCTGAACCCGAAACCCGAAACCCTAAACCCTAAACCCTTGGAGTTTCGGCTTAGGGTTGGGCTATCTTGACGGGGTTTGATAGCGCAGCCGCCCTGGATCTCCTGGACCTAGATCCCCTAAATCCTAAATCCCCCCTACATCTCCTTATGACCCTACACTCTCCTTTAGGGTTTAGGGTTCCGGGTTTACTGTAAGTCCTGTAAGATTTGCAGCCCTAGAAACCGTAAACCCCAAAGCCCGAAACCCCTTACAAACCCCGAGCCGTCTTCATCCCCCTCAGAAGCGCCACCTTTGGGACCCCTTAGTGACTGCCTTAGTGTGCCTCATGCCCTATAAGAGGACCCCCTCAACGCTCAACTCACTCAACGCTCATCTCACTCAAGCCCTCTACCCTGAAGCCGCAAGCCTAAACCCTAACCCTAAACGCTAAACCCGAATTAAACCCAAAACCTTAAACCCCTAAACCCTATACCCTAAACCGTAAACCCTAAACCCTAAAGCTTCAGAGGACTCCACAGAGCGAGATCTGCAGCCAGAAGTTTACTTCCCCCTGCCGCAGACTCCGGTCCGGACCCTGGTAGATCTTGGGGGCCTTTTCGGGTTTCGGGTTTAGGGTTTACGCTTTAGGGTTTAGGGGTTTTCGGGTTTAGAGGTTTATAAGGGTTTGGGGGTTTCGGGGTTTAGGGTTTCGGTTTAGCCGTTCTTGGGGAGTGAGGCTTCTTGTTGAGTTCATATCCTCGGGCTTTGGTGTTCTCAATGATGCCTTCGGCTTCGGAGGAAGGTGCCAGCTGATCCCGGTGCGTGGGAGATCTTGGGGCTGTGGGTTTTCACGGTTTTGACATATAAAATGACCCTAACCCTGGGCTAAAGACTGCTTGAATTTATATGCGAGTTCCCAGTAGCTGTAGGGAGTTAGGGTCTTGGGTGCTTACCCTCCCTCTCTTGAAGGAGCTATAGAGGAAGCCGAATTTCCCTATGCCCTACCTACCAAGAACCAGATAGCAGTAGAGGGATTAGTATCTCGTGCTTTCTTTTATAGTTCAAGGTTTGAGAAGAAGTCTTTTGTTGAGGGTTCAGGGTTTAATGGGAGCTTCCGTAACCCTCAGCCCACTCAACCCCAAAGTTAGCAACCCTCAGCTCTATCCCCCGAACCCAATACTTGATTGGGGTTCAACAGGGTCAGGGTGTCCACTGGGTGGGGGGAGTCCGGTGTTGGCATTCAAGCATGATAGGGCTGCAAGGTCTGGTTAAGCACACAACTTCTGTTGAGACTTTTGCCTTGATCTCGCTCTCGCGCGCTCTCTCTCTCTCTCTCCCTCTCTCTCTGTCTTTCCCCTTTTTTTCTCTGTGTCGGCATGCATGCCTATATTGTTTAAGTCTATATATACATATATATGTGTGTGTAGATGTGTATATTATGTACAGCATACGTTAAGCGCATATTTCAAATTCCAACTATGACTATGCATCTTGTAAGCTTTCAACCTTATCCTTTGCATGAGTCGAGCATGCTCGCGAACGCAGTGTATTCATCGCATGTTGCAACAAAATGAGTCCCAGCTTTCCTGAATTCCGTTGTCCCACAGCCTCAATATGCCTGAGTACTGTATTGGATTTGGCATAGAATTTGTTTTGCAGGTTCTCAAAGAGCAACATATATTTTCTGATGCAACAAAGAAGCTTATGTCGCCGTGGACATCGCAGGCGCGATGTAATTGCCCCACATTCCCTACGCAAGGCCTCCATATGCACTCTTACACCCCCCTTCCCTGGTTGCTTATGACAAGTAGTGAGGGTGTAGGGATCAGGGTAATTTAGGGCTTTAGGGTTTAGGTTGTAGGGTTTAGGGATGTTTAGGGGAAAACCCGACCATCCTGCAAAGCTGGGCCCAGGTGAACGAGCGGAAGTACAGAAGGACAGCGACTTTTTGTCTGCCGTTTTGGGCGTGTCGGTTCTCTTACAAAGCTCACATGGGAGCAAAGATCTTCGGCCCTTTCTGGGCAGCCAGGCTTCGACGGACAGTTAGAGTGCTCTGCTCGGGACCAGGCTTCGAGGGACTGCAGGGTTTCGGGCTTTAAGGGTTTAGGGATGTACAAGGAGGGGCCCCCTAGTTATAAGTAGAGTTTATAAGAACCCTGAATTGGGTCATAAGGATCCTAAATTAGGTTACAAGTCCCTTAACTACAGTTAGTATAGTAAGGGGGCCCCTCCTTGTAGGGTTTTGGGGTGTGGGATTTAGGGTGCCACCTCTGATGTAAGGCTTAGGGTTTTCGCACGCCAGGATCTCGCACCAGCCTGGTGAAATCTACGCGCGGCCCTCACGTGTCGAAGAGCCCTCTGAAGACTTGGGGTTGGGCGGGACGAGCTGGTGTTGCTGCGGGCGCGTTCCTAGCTGCTCGATGTCATCGGTTTGCTGAGCGCAGCTACCCGAAGCCCTGAACCCCAAACCCTAAACCCTATAAGCCCTATCAGCCCTAAACAAGAAGCCCTACAAGCCCTATGAGCCCTAAATCCCCAATGAGGTTTGAAGGCTTCTGTGGGACTCCTGGGTAGCTGCCAAGGTGCACCATGGCTTGAAAGACCAGAAGCTTCCTTCAGAGGCCGGGCGGTGTAGAGTTGAGGGTTGAGGGTTGAGGGTTGAGGGTTTAGGGCTTAGGGTTTGGGGTTTAGGGTTTAGGATTTAGGGTTTAGGGTTTAGGGTTTAGGGTTTAGCCTCACAGACCGAAAGGGTGGTTTATAGGGTTTAGGGTATAGGGTTTAGGGTTTGCAGGGTTTTGGGCTTACAGGGTGTACGGGGTTTGTGGACTGAGCTTACCGGGTGTACAGGGTTTATAAGCTTTATAAGGTTTGGCAGGTTGGTGGGGTTGAAAGGGTTGTAGGGATGCAAGGGGTTTGGGGTTTTGTTTGGTCTAATAGAGAAGCTTCTGGTAATTCCACAGTTTGGTCATTGGCGCTGGTGCCTCAACTGGACCCTAAGCCCTAAGCCCACTTACGCATGCAACCCAAAAGAAACCCTCAACCCTGGACCCCAAACCGCGACCCCACCTGCGCACTCTAAACCTGCACTGGCAAAGCTCTTTCCGAGCCCTGGCACTAAGTTCGGCCCCACTGTCCCAAACCGCGAGGGTGTAGGGTTTAGGGCTTACGGTTTAGGGTCAAGGCAAAGTTGTGGTGGACCGCATATGTATTCGCGATTGAAGCTGATCCTATAGGATCCGATCCCCCCGTCGAGTCCTAGTGTCGGGGAGACAGTCTCATGTGAGTTTTGCCCACAAGGTTGCTGCCCGCAGGAGCCCCCAGCCCCAAAAAGGCTCAATGCTTCTACGACCTACAAGCCCCTTATAAGCCCTACAAGCCCTGTAGTCACTGGTTTGATCATTCCACAGCAATCTTTTTTACTTGTTTCATGTTTTCATGGAAACTTCTTTGGTCTTGTAACGTTTTGTCAAAACACACAAACACGTAAAACCCTATGCGCTGCACAACACCCTCGTCTCTGAGGACTTCCGCTACGGCATCCGGGGACAGAAGGGAGCCAGTACTGAGGATACGATGAAGGCCACCTTGAGGGCGCGGGAGTTTGCGCTTGAGAGTTTTGGGTGTATTCTCTAAGGTTCAGGATGTAGGGTTTAGGGGTTTGTTGTTGTGTTTAGGATTGTGGGCTTACAAGGCTTGTTTGTTGGGATTGTAGACTTTTCGCACAGGGTCTTGCTTTCAGTTTTTCTGCACTTTGAAAGAGGGGTTGTTAGATGTTAAGTCAACTGCTTTTGGATGTTCCCCCTTCTATTATAATGATACTAGAACCACCCCCAAAAAAACAAAAAAAAAACGAATGACTCAGGCCCCTATAGTTAGGGATTTAGAATGATTAAGGCCCTTATATGGCACTCTGAGAGGGCTGCTGGCTCTCTTGTGAGTTTTTGGAGTTTGAAGGCTTGGGGTTTGCGTTTTAAGGCTTTTAGGAGTTTAGGGGGGAGGCTCAAGGGCTTGTTTAGGGTGTTTACGGCTTTAGGGGCTTGAGTTTCAAGGGCTTTTGGGGTTCTTAGCTTCAAGTCCTGGTTCTCTGGGCTCTCGGCTGCTGCGCAGGCAGGGCTGCTCATGGGCGTTGCTGCCTATCAGACACTTGGGCTCCCTTCAGCACATGTTCAGACTGGAGGGTTTAATTCGCGTTTAACCCTAAACCCTAGCCCTAAATCCCCAAACCCTTAAAGCCCAAATGTTGGGTTTCAGGGTTTAGGAGTTTAGGGGTTTTAAGAAGGCTTTGTTTAGGGTATGCACATGCTTAAGAGCTTTAAGGTGGGGAGTCTCAACCACAATGCATCCCTCGTATCGCCTTGTGTAATCCTTAGTATCCTTGTATACACCCGAGGTCCTGAACTAACCCGAAATCCTAGATACCCCTTACTCGCGTCTTACAAAGGAGAAGCGGCCTTAAAGCGCAGGTACAGGTGCGCAGTTGCCGCGCATATACGCCTCTTCTCAGCGGTGCTAGGGTGCATATACGCCTCTTTATAAGACTCGTCCTTATGGAAAGTCAAGCCTGGACCCCCCAAAGCACACTCACTCTGGGACTTAACACCCTTGAGCTTCAGGAACGAGTGCGCTGAGAGCATCTACGAGTCGCGGAAGAAGGAGCCCCTAGGCGTGGGTCGAAGCTGTTTCTTTGGCGCAAACCGCACAACTTCCACCCCCCAGCCCCAAACACTTGCAGGAACCTCAAGATTTGGTTTTCAGGCGTAGAGTTGCGCGCATACACTCATAGTCTTGTAGATTGTATTTCTTATAATTATAATACATGCATGTGCTGTTTGTTAATTGCATATTTATGTGCATGCAAAGGAAAAGGCTCATGAATTGAAACGTAAGCGCAGCATGAAGGGCAGCAAGGGTCTTTAAGAATAAAAGTCCTGCACCCTAAACCCTAAACCCTAAACCCTAAACCCTGTCAGAGCTGTTAGCAGGGTCAGTGCTTAGGTGCTTGGGCCTTGGGTCCACGTTCTTGTTTCGACTCCGAGTCTTCCTTTTTCTTTAACTGTTGGGGTTAAGGTTTAGGGCTTAGGCGTCTGGGGTCTGCCAGCGCCCCCCGCCCCCCCCCACCCCCCAGCCCCCCTCTGAATAAGGGCGCTGATTTGGATGATTTGGACTTAACTTCCAATTTCAGTGCCCGATTGGCTCTAAGGCGTATAGAACTTCGATGTTGAAAGGGTCCCCCACATGAAAAAGGGAACCTGATCACGGCATTCTATAGAGGCTGAAGTCGATGGACGTTTGAGGGGCCCGAGATGTCACTCCCCAGAGCCAGCCTGCATGCAGATGTACTGGTTTGACCAAGCATTGCCAGTGGAAGACGCGAAGATGAAGGCTGCAAGGGCCCCGGCTCTCAAAACGGTCACGCTACCGGGGCCCGTACACGGAGTCGCTGGGAAGCATGTCAAGCGCCTTGTGGACGGTTGCGATGTCGGTCCTGCATCGGGTCGAGTATGGGACAGCAAAGCCAGGTGCCGCGAACAGGTCGCGTGCTGGTGTGGTCCCTCACAACGCTAAGAAGTGCTCATAGAGTGCTTGCATGTGCTTGCAGGGTTTAGGGATTAGGGTTTGGGTTGGAACCGAGAATCGGCACCATCGATATTGGAACTAGCATGTGTTTTCTGGCAGGCAAGCCTTTTCACCGAGGGCACTCGTGACCCCGGCTGCTATTGCTGGCACACGCAGGGGGAGGGTTTAGGATTTAGAGTTTAGGGGGTTTGTGTTGCTGCCAAGTATAATTTCACAGTTAATTGCACGTACTATCTCCTGAGACCTTTAATCTTGAGTCCAAACTGAGGTGCGAGCGAGGTTGGTTTGATGTCTGAGCATCTGTGCGGGTCTCAAGCTATCGGCTTTCTCTGTAACCTGCCGCTAAGGGCTGGATCGACCCCAGCCCTTTTGGGGACTACTGATAAATCTGCTCAATCTTGGGCAAGGGCGCGGTGGCACTGAAGTAAGAAGGGGACAGGAGCCCTAACAGCCCCAACGTTACCTAGTCTTTGTTGAGGACCCTCATCTAAGCCTTGCTGTTGCCCTAAGTAGGGTTTAGGGTTTAGGGTTTAGGGTTCAGGGATGAGGATTTAGGGCTAGCCTTTGGAAGCCTTGCTGTGACAAGTAGGGTTAGGGTTTAGGGTCGAGGGCCTCTGGAAGGACAAGAACCCTAGACCCCCTTATAATAGCAGTCCTGAATGGGGGGGGGGGGGGGTTGGGGCCGGGGTACTATAATCCCCTATCAAGGATTGTTAGTACAAGGGGGAACATCCCAACTCTAACCCTTAAACTGTAACCCTAACCCCTAAACCCTACTTAGGGCTACAGCAGGGCTTACACCCTCGTGGCCAGGCTTAAGATGCTGCCCGAGGGCTTCGGCAACCCGAGTCGGGGGCCTCAGGAGAAAGAGGGTTTAGGGTTTAGGGTTTAGGGTATAGGGTTTAGGGTTTAGGGTTTAGGGTGATCAGCTTGAAGTTGAGGTCTCGGATGAGTGCTGCAGGGCTCATGTGTCGTCTCCTTTTTTCGAGGCTTTGATTGGGGTTTAACCCTAAACCCTAATCCCCAAACCCCAAACCCTAAACCCTAAACCTTGGCTTCGTTTTGTGTTGTTTTTGGTTTAAAGATGTTGAGGGTTCGTTCTTTTTGTTTTCGTCTCCAGGGTTTTGGGGTGCAAGATGTTTAGGGGGCGTTGAGGCTTTTTAGTGCGTCTAAGGTGGTCATGCTTCAGGACACTCGGGTTTCAGGGGCTGAGGGCTTTTAGGTTTTAGGGATTTTGGGCTTGATGAGGGCTTCTGTGGAGGGAAGGGCTCGGCAGATGCAAATATTATAGTTGGTGCCGCTCAGTTTCGTTTCAAAGGGCCAAAGACAGTAAGCTCAGAATGGTTCCGCAGTTCATTGATGACGACTTATAAAACAATAAGTATGCTTTCTACAGTAATGTGGGCTTACTTCGATGCCTCCACCACAGTTTACAACCACCCCTTCTGCAATCGCAGCATATTTCGAGCGCTTTCATTGCTCTGCAGTGCGAGCCAGCTTTGCTTCAAGGAAAGAAATTGCCAACGTGGGCAGCAAAGGTATGACTACTACGTCATGTGAAGACTCCGTTAAGACCACCACAGGGTAATCAGGCTTCAGCGCTACTCATGACCACCTGCGACATTTGACATTGTAAGCAGATAAATAATAAAGTTGCGGATTTCGAAGCTCTTCGCAATGACGTGCAGAGGCAGAAAGGCTGCGCCCGGCAAGGCCTGGAAGCTATGTTGCTTCGCTCTGACGAGCGCAATCCTTTCGAGCCTGACAATGGTCAAACAGAGTATATCTTTTCAGCATGTGCAACAAATGGATGTTTCCAGACGCAAGCATCTCCTCCTACCTTTGCTGGGTGCAGTTGGTGCTGGTGTGCCAAAGCCAGCCCGGGCATTGGTTGGATCAACCCTGTCACCTGAAATTGAGGAGGTGGTCAGGGTGGAGCCAAAAGGTACCGACTTTCAGACCCTACCAAGTGGCCTTCGCATCTTAGACTTGGTGGTGGGTAAGGGAGATGAGTGTTGCAAGGAGGGCGACACGGTCTTGGTGGATTGGAGTCTCAGAAAAAGCAATGGCTACTTCGTTGATGCCTCCTTTGGGTTCGATCCAGGCCGCGCCATTGATGAAAAGTTCGGTGTTGGCTCACCAGAGCTTCGCTTTACTCCTCTTGGAGACTTGGTAGCCCAGTGGTACCCTTTTTGCATGTTTTTTGGTTGGATTCGAGGTTCCCTTTTGAAAGTAAGCAACCCAAAAAACAAGGGCACGCTTGTGATAGTACTGGGCTTCCAAGGAGATAAGGGGGACAAAGTGATCGAGGGTGTCAGGAAGGCGCTCATCGGGATGCACGTCGGTGGCACTCGAAGGATAATTGTGCCACCGAATCTGGGCTATGTGTCAGATGATCTCGCTCCGAAACCTGTGGATTGGGGACGACAGACCCAGATCCAGCGAGCCAAGAACAAGAACTTTGTGGTTGAGCTTCGCTTGAAAGCACTCCGGCAGTAGGAATTTCATCCACCACTTCGGGCCACTGAGGTCAGAAGAAAGGTTCTCGCGACTTTGGGAAGTGACTGTGGAGAAAGTAAACGGAGTTGCAGCAGAAGTGGAAATCCGAAGCATATCAACATTTGAAGCATGTTTAAGTCTTTCTGCGCCGTGATGCCAAGTGCACGGCAGCTTAGACTGTTGACCTCTCGGGCACGGGCTGTTTCTTTGCTTAGAGCTCTCTAACATACAACGCTGCTCAGATGCATTTAGTTGGAGCATGAATTTGCCCTTGCTCATGCCTGTACCCTCACTTGCACAGTAGAGTTGCCCTGCACAGCGATTGCCTGAACATCCGTGAATGATCTTATTCCCCCCTACCGAAGCAGAAGTTGCAAAAGTCATATCATCAACGCCTGCTTTATCAGAAGCAGCATTCAACAACAATAGGTTCTTTCCAATAGCCCCTCCTAGAAGGTCGCACGTGGGCCGACCAAGTCTTTCCGAAGCCTCCTATGGCTCGCCATATGCATCGGACTCCAGCGCGGGACAAAAAGTGCGACTGGATTCCAAATTGCTGAGTCCCTAAACCCTAAACCCTAAACCCTAAGCCCTAAACCCTAAACCCTAAACCCTAAACCCTAAACCAAGGGCTTGAAGGTGGTTAAGGGCATAGATTTTACCGTAAAGTGTGACTGTACGGTAAAGAATGTGGTTTCCATTTTCTGGTATCTGACATCAAGCTCCTTAACATCAACCCAGCTTTTCAGATCTAGCTGTAGTTGGGCTTACTGGTGGGATGTAGGGCTTCAGGTTTAGGATCTTAGGGTTTAGGCTCTAGGGTTTAGGGTTTAGGGGGGGATTAAGATTTCCAAGCCTTCAACCTCGCCGCAGCAACGAAGCTGAAGAGGTGGCGTGCCCATCGCCGGCAAGGATGTGATTTACGCAGCCGCGGGCTTTGCCTTGTCTAGTATAGGGGTCGGAAGAATTACAAATAGTATTCTGTAAAACCCCCCCCCCCCCCAAAAAAAAAACGCGTATTCTTTTTTCAGGCCCCTATATATGACCCTAAGCCCTAGACCCTTGAAACCATAAACCTCCAATGCCAAGCATCTAGCCCTCAGGTTTTGTCAATCTTCTTCAGACTTGGTCCCTACAGCCTATCCCAACAGGGGACCCCATGTTGGAAAGCCCCTGCACACGAATACTCCTTGAAGGAGGATTGTAGGCAAACTGCCCTCGAGTCCTCTACCTGGCCGGTTGTAAGTTGAGGTCCCTTGCTTGGTTAGCGTTCGGGTTTTCGGGTTCAGTGTCATAAAACGGTTTGGGGTTTAGGGTTTTGGGGTAGACACAAACATCGAAACCGACCTGAAACGCTTGTGAAATGCTGTGATAACTCCACCTCACACCAGGGTACGCCAAGACGGGACCGTAATTTCGCCAGGTGGGCATGAGCTGTATTTCCCTGATTGGGGGTCAGGGGATCATCCTAAACCGTAAACCTGAAAGCGTAAAGGGTTAGCCTTTCAGCCTTGTCGCTCCTAGGAACGAGGACATTAAAAAAACTTGTGCAGTTCCCCCAGCCCCAAGCCCACTGCTAAACTAGAATCTCCAGGGGTGCCTCTCAGATCCCTTTTCCCGACGACAGGCGTGGGAGATTATTTGGTTTGGTAGGGCCTCAGAAAATAAACCATAGCCCCTAATCCCCGAAGCCCTAAACCGTAAACCCCCAACCCCAAATGCCAAGCCCAGCCGACCTAACACCAACTTAAAGCGGCCAGTTTTTCGGGCACCTAGCCTCGCATGAAGCTATACCCGCCATATGCTGCACATCCAAAATGTGATATGAAACTGGGGAGTCTAACATAACTTCCACTCCACCCTAAACCTTAGACCTTAGACCTCAACTCTAAACCCTAAACCCTAAACCCGCAACCCTAAACCTGGCCAAGGTGGGCCTGGAGCCTGATAAGGAGGAGCCCTGCCAGCGGGCGGAAACACAACCGAGTAGCGGTAACCTCTTGGGGATTGTAGGGTTTAGGGTTTAAAGTTTGGGGTTTAGGGTTTAGGGTTTAAAGGTGTAGGGTTTAGGGTTTAGGGGGGTCTATCGCTAGGGACTAAAGGGTTGTCTTAAGGGTCTGGAGGTTCGACGCCTCAGTGCCTATAGGGATTTAAAATCGGTTTCGGGCCTTTGGTCGATGATTTGTTGTCAGCATTCTTGCTAGCGAATGCGGCAGACTCCCGAAAGTTAATACAGAATCTTCCCTAACAAGCTTGACAAGCACGGAAGTTGTAACCACGGTTGGAGTCTTGGAGGGTCCACATGGCTTTAGGCCTAAGGGTTGTAGGGTTTAGGGTTGTAGTCAGGGTTTCCAAAATCCCAAGTTTTCCGGGTTGGGCAGGCGTTTGGGGTTCTCCAGCTCAGGGGAGAGAGTTGGCATTTTGTTCAGCTTGTTCTAAATTATTTATGGGGTCTCCATTACGGTGTACTTCTTCTATGTCTAAGTTTAGGGTACCAAAACGGCCCAGAGTTTTGAGCCGCAACACTGGGCTGCAGGCGAGGCTCAAAGCTTTGCGACCCAATGACACTTGTAGGCATCTCCTACTGAAAGCCCTTCACGTCCGCTGATATGGGGTTACAGTAGTGTTTAGGGTTTATAGGCTTATGATTTGTAGTCATGGTTGGCGTTTAAGCCTTAAAGATCCCAAAGCCCACATCAACCTCCGGCGGGCGAAAGGGGTCTCTTGGCACCATGGCTTTCTAAGACACCAGGAGCACCGTCAGATGTACAGATACACGCCCTGCCCTCAGCAAGCCGGCACCGTCCGCTCTGAGTCTACAAAGGCCCGTGGCTGAGGCTTTAGGGTTCATTATAGGGTTTAGGACTTAGGGTTTAGAGTTTCGGGTTTAGGTTTTAGGTTTCAGGGTGACGGGCACGCAAGCAAGCTTCTGCGAAGTCCACTAAGCACCATTCATGAAAACCCTAAACCCTAAACCCCCAAGCCTGAACCCCAAACCCTCAACCCTCAGCCCTCAGCCCTAAGCCCTACCAACCCAAACCAGGCACAACAACTTCAATCCTGGAGAGCGACGCTTGATCGCAATTTGCTGTCAGGGTGCAGTGCTGTGGGGCAGACACACCCTAAACCCTAAGCCCTAAATCCTAAACCCCAAACCCTAAAACACCCTAACCCCTAAACCCTCGGCCTCGACTTTCACAATTCCTAAAGACTTCAGACTTGAGCCGTGGCCCCCCACTTAGGGTTTCGGGTTTAGGGTTGAGATAGAGTTTAGTAAGATGTCTTGGATCGAGGAATTATCTAGCTGAGGGCTGAGGTTTCCCTAACACACACAGACACACACACACACAG